TCCATCCATCCATCTATCTATCTATCTATCTATCTATCTATCTATCTATCTATCTATCTATCTATCTATCTATCTGTCTATCTGTCTTTCTTTCCATCTATCTTTCTGTCAGTTCATTCATCTGAAACGCAAGTACACTGCAGTATTTATAACATTTTATCAGTTCACTGTAGCTAAGTGCATTCATTAAAGTGCTGTAAATATTATAATATACACACATACAGTATAATACACTATTCTAACTATAGTATGGACCAAAACCCTATAGTATTTACTATAAATTACTCTAGTGTTATTTCATATGAGACATAATAATAAGCCCAGTGGAAAGGCGGCTGGCCCTGGCTCACCCTGGCTTGCTCGATTTAGGTGCAATAGTGACTTCTGGGACTTCTAGAGCAATTACTGCACTAAGTCTGCATCCGATGCATCCTCGATATCAAGAACGCATCTGGGTTCTGTCACAGGTCCTCTGTTCTTGCAGTCTTGAGTATTACAACTGAACTTCAGCGACTGATAATGACGTTACACAAGATCACTTAAGAATGCATATTGAGAAACCGCCACCATCAGTGGCAGCCAGAAAAGATGTTCATAACAACAGACAGACAGAGCATAAATATGATTTACACGCGACATGCTTGAAGAATGAGGATCATTCATGATTGATGATAAATCATTCACACATCACAAGCAGAGCACCTTCACGACAGCAGAGCTTCACACACACACACACCAGGGAAAACGCATTAATATTTCACATGATGACACTAAGAGTCGCTCTCAGTGGATCAATCCCACATTCGCTCAGAGGAGAAATGCATAAAGAGACGTACCATGTGATAGTTGACAATCTCCTGCAAACCCTCACCACACTTTTCCAGACAATCCTGCAAAAACACAACAACAGGTCACAGTCATCACAATTCCAATGAGGTTTTTGTTATAGAGCAGGGGTGTCAAACTTAATTCCAGGATGGCCGCAGCCCTGCAGAGTTTAGTTCCAGCCCTGCTTTAACACTCCTATCTGTAGGTATCAAACAAGCCCAAAGCACTTAATTAATATGATAAGATGTGTTTAATTATCCATAAAAACATAATAATATAATATAATATAATATAATATAATATAATATAATATAATATAATATAATATAAAATAATATAATATAATATAATATAATATAATATAATATAATATAATAATTATTTTATAATAACAATAATAATAATAATAATAATAACACATCATTTATTGGTTTAAAGATATCAACCTAATTTAATGTTCTTAGACTGATAACATTAAATAAACATTAATCAGCTGATAACCCCGCCAATACTGTACATCCTGCATCTTAACCTAAAAATCTCACTGATTAACATTCACTGTCCATCTAACATGGAAAAAGAGTCCTGCTGAGTGAGCAACAGCTCTTGTCCAAATGGAAATGTAATTGTGGGTCTGACTCTGTGGAAAATGCAAATAGCAGCAGGTTTTAATAAGATCCTCAACATTAGTCAGCTTGGGTACAAGGGGGAAAAGAAGCCAAAAAGACTCTTTATAGCATTTTCAGATGGCGGCATTGAGTCTAACCCTATTGGCACTACTGACAGAGAGAAAGACGAGAGTTCGGGATCCCGGCCTGCTTCTTTTTGACTAAATCCATGTCTAATCAGGGTTAAAGAGTGTCTGAGACGCTGCAAACAGCAGCCTGATGCCCTCAGTCTGCCAGTAAAGAGCTCACAATTAGAAGCAGACGCGTGTGGAGGCTGGAGAAATGAGAAGAAACATTTTACAGTTGAATGATTTATGGTGGAGTTCTGTTAACTGTTGCTGAATGCCGGTGTTTATCTACAGCACAATGGTAAATGAACGTGATGAGAGAAAAATCTTTGGACTGTCTTGGGGGAAACTGAAGCACCCGGAGGAAACCCATGCGAACGCGGAGAGAGCATGCAAACTCCTCACAGAAACGCCAACTGACCCAGCCGAGGTTCGAACCAGCGACCTTCTTGCTGTGAGGCGACAGCACTACCTACTGCACCCACAGTCAAACCTCAGTATAAAATTAAATTAAATTAAATTAAACTAATAAAATTAAACTAAACCAAACTAAAATAATAAAAATTAAATTAAGTTAAACTTATCTAAATAAAATAATAACTAAATAAAAATTAATAAAATTAAACTAAACAAAAAATATATAAAATTAAATTAAATTAAAAGTAATAAAATTAAACCAAACTAAACTAAAATATATAAAATTAAATTATGTTAAATAAAATTAAACTAAATTAAAATAAAATCAATAAAATTTACTAAAAATAAATTTAAATTAAACGAAATTTTATTAAATTAAAACTAATAGAATGAAACTAAAATAAATTAAACTAAAAAAAATGTAATTAAATTGAACTAAATAAAACTAAACTAAATTAAATGAAATGTAATAAAATTAAACTAAAATAAAATAAAATTAAATGAAAATTAAATTAATAAAATTAAACAAAAATAATACACATAAATAAAACAAATCAAAATAATAAAGAACAAAACAAACAAAATAAAATAAACATTTTTAGTTTGAAGTGAGGAGAAAATAATTGCTAGTAATTATAATAATTTTATCATAAAAATACATACAACTCGAATAATACATTTAAAATTTGTCTAAAATTTAAATAAGATCCTTTAAAAAAGTTATAAATGTGTATATAAAAAATAAATAATAACTACAACAAAACAAGAAAATAATAATAATAATAATAATAATAATAATAATAATAATAGCAGAATTTTATACAATACAAATAGATAATTTTATGGTTTCAAAAATTAAAGTTATTTTATAGTATAACATTACCTATTTATGAAACTTGTACAGCATTTATTAATCATAAATGTACATGTACTAACACATTATTAACATCCAAATTCATACTTATTAACATTAGTCAATGCATTTACTACCATGAATAAACAATGAACAATGCATTTATTTCAGTTTATGTTCATGTTTTGTTAATGTTAGTTAATGATCCCATTACCACTGTTTATAGTTAGTTCATGTTAACACGCTGGGCATTAACTAATGCAACCTTATTGTAAAGTGTTACCGAATATTCTATTATACAAACACCACTATTTTTGTACAGTATTTTTGTTCCTGAAAAGTTTACAAAAGAATGAATAATAATAATAATAATAATAAATAGAATAATAATAATATTAATAATAATAATTATTATTATTATTGTTATTAATATAATTATTAATAGCATCATTATGATCCACATTTCTTACATTTCCACTCCTTTGCTTGTGATCAGAAATTATAAGCAGACCAAACACACAGAAAAAGTAAATAATGAAATATTACCGATATCATCTGGTCTTTCTTGCAGTGCTGGGACAGATCACGGATACCATTGATAAAGAGCTTGTTGGCAGTGACATACGCTTTCCCAGCTTCAATCATACCGCCACACAGCTTCACCAGCTATTCATCAAATACACAGAGAGAGAGGAAAAAAAAGAGGAGAACATTAGATACAATCAGCAGAAACATGAAGAAACAAAAGTAAAGATCCTGATTTTTTTTCTTTCTTTTTCAAACATTTCCCAAATTATGCTTAAAAAAGCAAGCAATTTTTCACAGTATTTCCAATAATGTTTTTACTTATTTATTTATACTTATTTGCTTTATTTTGGCTAGAAAAAAAAAACAATTTTTAAAACAATTTTAAGGTCAATATTATTATCCCATTAAGCAATATTCTTTTTTCGATTCCCTACAAAACAAACCATTGTTATGCAATGATTTGCCTAATTACTCTAACTTGCCTAATTAACCTAGTTAAGCCTTTAAATGTCACTTTATGCTGAATACCAGTATCTTGAAAAATATCTAGTAAAATATTATGTGCTGTCATCATGGCAAAGATGAAATAAATCAGTTAATAAAAATGAGTTATGAAAAATGAAAAATCTTCTTTCCATTAAACGGAAATTGGGGGGGGGGGAGAGATATACAGGGGGGCTAATAATAACTTCAGTTGTATGCATATGGAAATGTTGATGTGTTTGGTCTTAGTGGAATAGGTGTGCTATACTGCTGCTATGGAAAACAAAAAATTGTTAAATATAATGCTGCATGTTTTATATAATGACTATATGTTTAGTGCATAGAGTCATTAGCTGTGTTACCATCCAAAAATGCTAATTAAATTTATGCATAAAACTAAATTATCACATAAAAGACATGCAAATTAAGCTGCGTTTTCATCCAATGAGTCAAAGCAAACAAAATTGTCACTTCCTGATTAACTGGGGCCAAATATTAACAGCAAAGACGTAAATTGCTGCAGTAGGAGAAGCTGCGTGAATCTTTTCTTTATTTAATACATTTTTATCACCTCAGAAGATGATACCGACACGCAATGAACACGTGGTGGCATTTAAAGGCATGAGATGCAGAGAACAGATGCTCTTGAGAGTTCTGAAGGTAAATATTAATAAAATAACACTAATACTGAAATGGTTAGATTTTTAGAATGACCAAAACAACATTTCATATGTTTTACAGGGTGCTCAGCCTGCTGGTTTGTCTATTCACACACATTTTTATAATCACATGATCTCTTGAGAGGGGTCCGGCTTCAGACCTGGTGCAGTGCAATCTGGGCTGCATCCAATGCTTTTTAATGGGCTCACCTAACCCCACCCCTAACCCTACCCGTCACAGTGACGTCACCAGCTCCATTTGAGTGCATTGTGTCTGACATTGCATCGCTGAATGATGCATCATTCTCAGATGTCTCAGCTTGCATTATAAAGGCTGCGTCCAGATACTATTGGATCTCTTATAACAAAATCACATGACCTTTTTCAATGCGCACACTGGAATTTGTTCAGTAAAAGTGTTTCCATCATAGTTTATGCGCATCTTTTCTTATCGAATAAAGTTTAATCTACTCAGTTATGCGTATCAACTTTTAATGAGCATTTTCTAAATTTATGCTCATCTTGTAGTTTAAATTAACCGATTTTTATGCGCATATCCAAAATGTGTATAAAAATAGGTGGATAGAAACTAGAGCTGCACAATTAATCGAAAAAAGATTGCGATCTCGATTAAACCCCCTAGACGATCTTTATCCAGCATTTCTACGATTCGGGGGGGGGGGGGCAGTGGCGCAGTAGGTAGTGCTATCGCCTCACAGCAAGAAGGTCGCTGGGTCGCTGGTTCGAATCTCGGCTCAGTTGGCATATCTGTGAGGAGTTTGCATGTTCTCCCTGCATTCGCATGGGTTTCCTCTGGGTGCTCCGGTTTCCCCCCAGTCCAAAGACATGCTGCAGGTGAATTTGAATTGGGTAGGCTAAATAGTCCGTAGTGTATGAGTGTATGAGGGTGACACGCCCAGACGACAGGCCGGCCGGAATGTGTAAAAAAGTCGTTATCACATGGACAAGTCTAAAATGGATTGTTCCAAAGAGCCGACCCTGCAACCATACGGGACTAAGGCCAAAGAAGAAGAAGAAGAAGACATATAACGACACCTCCAAATGATGTTGAAGAGTCACATACTGTATTTATAAGGTATAATTTACCAAAAAAATGTCATTATGGTCTTCATATAAAGCTGTATCCGCGGCCGGGAAATCACACGTGACGTGAGCTGCTGACCGAGAGCTGTCACAGAGAGGGTGGGTGCGCACCCTACTTAATGATAGACGCGCGCCCGTCTACTTTAGTGAACAGAACCTGCATAGACTGAGAGTAACAGGTAATAAATTTGCAAATAATATTCAGTTTGTGGCACAGAGTGATCGTTTGAGAGCCGCGCGTAAAGTATGAACACCACTTAGCAGTGAAAATGAAACCGAAAGCATGCACATCATTTAAACGATCATATCGTATTTTAGAGTTATGACTGCGACAAGCATTTGATACGTTTTTTCTTTCATAGCGAACCCACAGTTGTGCATGAAAATAAATGTTTAGTGTCAGTATAACTACTTATTACTACAGATTGCAAGCATGGGCCTATATCTCAAACATAATTCAACATCAGAATTATTATAAGTAGAATAGAATTATTTATAGAAACCAGTGGACATACACATAATATTAATATTGTTGTTTTACCATATGTTTAAAAAAAAAAACAATAATAATTACCGACTCATATTAAGCTTTATTATACATCTACAGAATCATGAGAAAATCGTGATCTTTATTTCAAGCAAAAAAAAAAGCGATTTTAATTTTAGCCAGAGGGTGAGGCAGTGGCGCAGTAGGTAGTGCTGTCGCCTCACAGCAAGAAGGTCGCTGGGTCGCTGGTTCGAACCTTAGCTGAGTTGGCGTTTCTGTGTGGAGTTTGCATGTTCTCCCTGCCTTCGTGTGGGTTTCCTCCGGGTGCTCCGGTTTCCCCCACAGTCCAAAGACATGCGGTAAAGGTGAATTGGGCAAGCTAAATTGTCCGTAGTGTATGAGTGTGTGTGTGGATTTTTCCCAGAGATGGGTTGCGGCTGTAAGGGCATCCGCTGTGTAAAAACTTGTTGGATAAGTTGGCAGTTCATTCCGCTGTGGCGACCCCGGATTAATAAAGGGACTAAGCCGACAAGAAAATGAATTAATGATTTTAGCCAGAATCATGCAGCTCTAATACAAACGTCGATTCCCTAAAACTTAACTTGATTTATTGCTGGATGTATCCAAATTTTTAATTGGTTCAGGTTCTTAAAGAAATCAAACACTTCAAGATGTTTTGGTTTTAAATCAAAGACTTCCTTCAACAAAGAATAAATCAGCATTTTGAGCAAATCTCTTAAATGATTCATTGACTTACTGTTTTTTAAAGAAAACTCTTGAATGATTCAATGGCTCACTTATAAAAACTTCATTTGTTTCAATATTCCGACAAATGTTTCTATGACAAACATTTTTTTAGCAGTCATACCTTCTGGCATACCAGGAAAAATCAATAGCATCTTTGAATGAATGAAGTTACTTTCAAAAGGTGATTAACTCTAGTTTAATCACTACACCAGTGTTTACATCAACACTACAAACTATAATCCTAGCACTTTAATATCCACACCACACATGCACATAAGCATTAAGCTGACTTTAACCCAAGATATTTCCTTAAATCCCACAAACAAACACAAACAAACACACACACACACACACACACACACACACACACACACACACACACACACACACACACACACACACACTCACAAACTCACGAACACACACATATAAATGACTATATATTCAGTGTGTCACTGATTCACTGAATGAATCGACTCACTAAAAATTTATTTGTTTCATTACTGGATGAATCGGAATTCTTGAATGAATCAGTTTATTTACAAATAAATGACTCACTCACAGACCTTTTTTTTATTCAACTCAAACAATTTACGTTTTTGATTAAAGAATAAATACACATTTTAAGCAAATCTCTTACATGATTCATTGATTGTCTCATAAGGTTCACTAGAATTCCAAATAAGCATTAAGCTGACTCAACACACAAACATAAAACAAGGACTATATTTTCTGTTCATCATTGACTCGCTGAATGACTCGACTCACAAAAAATTCCCTTCTTTTATTAGTAGATGAATCAACACTTTTGAATGAATCAGTTTTGATACAATTCAACGATTCAACTCAAACACTTTATTTCTTATATTAAACAATAAATCCACATTTTAAGCAAATCTCTTACACGATTTAAAACCCCTTTTCACACAGTGATACCAGTAAATATCTGGAAAATTTCCGGAACGACTTTACCTGTGATTTAAAAAAAGTGCTGTTCACACAGGCGAGGACGTTAAGGAATTTTTCTGGAAAAGACCGTTTACACATCCATTCCAAAATACCGGTAAATTCTCGCATCATTAACCAGAAATTACCTCTAAACGGCTGCGCTTATATGTGTAAACATTTGACTACATTACAAACTCTGGATGGAGAAGTATTGTGAACAACTTCGATGAAAATATATAGAGAAACACTTTCGCATGTCGAAATATACATAACGTGTGTGTGCTGGTGCTCACTCCGTCACGGGCACACGCGACACGTCAAGCAACTGAAGGAAGCAGAGCTTGAAGGTAAACAAACAACGGCTTATCATAAACATTTTATCGATAGCTATTTACAAAGATAGAATTAAGAAGGAACATAGAAATGTTATCTAACTAAAACCTTAGCAGCTAAATGTGTCTGCAAAAATATTCAAAGGCTTTTATTTTTATAAACCGTGCGGATGTGAATGCTTCTGACTGTACTGATTGGCTAAAGTAGACGTCTCACGTCAGTCTATACGTGCATGCGCTCTTTCCGCCAATCTTACCGGTAATCTTACAACTTCTTTTTCCGGAAAATAGCCAGAATGAATTTACCTGTATTTTCAAAACAACCCAAGCTCATTCTGAAAACGTTGTCCCGTGGACGTTTCTGGAGACAGCGGAATA